AACTCATTTTTATTAGCAAAAAAAGCAGTCAAAGTTGAAAGTACCATATTTTTGGAACAAATCATTTCTTTGTATAAGTAAGTAACATGTAACCTATCGGACGAAATTTTGTAAATTTTTAGGTCTGTGTGTATTATCATGAGTAAATAGTTGTGAGTTTGTAACAAGAAAGTTACTTGCACTTTCATGGCACAGTAGGGCTTTTGAAATTTCAGTCAGTCAAAAAATTCAGTCAAAAAATTTAACTTCAAAAAATGTTATTTTCATAACGTCATTCCTTGTTTAAGCTATAATATATATGTATAATAAAAAAATATACATATATATTTGAAAATATTATCGTCTGCACTCTCAACAAAAAAAAAAAAAGTTTAAATAATAATAAAATTTCATTAAAAAATCTTTGAATTGAGGTACTATGCAAGGGTCGGATGTAAAACGTAAGGCATTAAAAACGTGGGGTGTAAATTTAAAATTGAACCTTTTCTATTTTTTTTTTGTGCACCGATTACTTATTAAAAAAACCAGGTTTTTCAAACCGATTTTCAATTTTTTTTTTGTCTACTACCAGTTTCAACTCTACTTAAAAATAAGAAAACAAAATATCTTTGTACCGATTACCGGTTATGTTTTTATGAAAACCGGTCCTTTAAAAGCCTATTTTTTAATTTTTAATTTAGTTTTTCTGGAAAATGTAAACTAGCCAAATATAATATTGTTTAAAATCGTAAAGTGTAGTAAAATTTTGGTTTTGTAATCCTACCATATGAGAAAATATTTTTGTACCGATTACTGGTTATTTTTTTACAAAAACCGATTTTTGAATGCCGATTTTTTAATCTTTAATTTATTTTTTCTATCAATTACAAATTCGCCAAATGTTTTAACAATAATATTGCTGAAAACCGTAAGATGAGGTAAAATTTTGTTTTTGTAATACTACCGTGTCACAATTCAATCAACAAAACTTTTAGTTCACCTTAAATTTGATACTTCACAGACTCAAAGGGTGGTATATCGACGGTTGAGTGGAAGATCGACCTATCTCGGTAGCAGGTTCGAAAACGCCCTATCTCAGAAAACTTTTCAATAAAATTATGAAATAGGGCGTTCTTCAATAAAATACTGAAGTAGGGCGTTCTTGAAAAGTTTTCTGAGGTAGCGGGTTTTCGAACTGGCTGTCGAGATGGGTCAATCTTTCACTCAGCTGTCGATATATAACTCGACAGCGGCAGACAACGCTACCAGTTGAAACTCTACTCAAAAATAAAATAAATTATTTTTTGGAGCTTTAAAATTTTAATTCCTTTTTATTTTTCATAGGCAATCCTGATTAAATTTCTAATTTTTTCAAAAGGCGAGGTCAAAACATTTCCAAATAAATATATGTTACCAGAAGCATAAACAAGGAATAAAATACAAAATCCCCAGTTGAAAACGGAATTTTTGCAGCAATTGTTTTTAAGTTTGGGCTCAATTTTTGAAAAAGACAAATCGAGCTCAAAATATGAAATTCCAACTGAAATCAAGAACTAGGATATTCTTTTTATCAATTTCATACAAATGACTCAAAAGGTCCTACTTTCGAAAAATTCAATTATGACACGCTTAGAGCACTGCTGATCCACTGTGCGGTGAGGCGCATATGCAGTATGCTCGTACGAGTAGGTATGTTCAAGTCTCACACAACGGCCAACTCACAGAATTGTGAAAAAATCTATATCTTAAATAAATAAAATTATTTGACTTGCATGTGCGCAACATGCAAGCGGAAATTTTCAGAATTCGCAAATATGCTGGCGACACTTTCAGAAGTTCAACAAACTCATGAACATAAAATTAATGTTTATTTTCTCGCAATACGTTTATGCATTTTTTTGTTTTTGATCGTTGCAATCATAAAATTTTTGTAGAGTCATTTCATCGCTGCGGGTGAGCGAATTTTGAACACTTAAAAAATGAAAATTCTTTTCACGAAATAATTTTATACTGAATAAATTTTTAAGCGCCAAAACTGCATTTTTAAGCAACAACAAACCAGTTTCAAGTTTACAGCCATAAAATACACAAGCAAAATTGGTAATTTTTACTCTTATTTTGGGAAAATTCCACATAAGTTCACTAAAAATGGCATTTAAATAGCTATATATAATGTTTTTTTTTCATTCAGTTTGTCTCCTTAAATATGGTCACTTAGCCAGTAGTGTTCTGTTAGGTATCCAGAGAGAGTTTTGGGATCAACCTTCCACGTACACCAGTTGGCTGCAACATAAGAGTCCTCTCATCTTCTTGGAAGGTCTGTCTTGCATATTTTGGATGGACGACAGAAAGGCTATAGTAACGGGTGATTTTTTAAGAGCTTGATAACTTTTTTTTTAAAAAAAACGCATAAAATTTGCAAAATCTCATCGGTTCTTTATTTGAAACGTTAGATTGGTCCATGACATTTACTTTTTGAAGATAATTTCATTTAAATGTTGACCGCGGCTGCGTCTTAGGTGGTCCATTCGGAAAGTCCAATTTTGGGCAACTTTTTCGAGCATTTCGGCCGGAATAGCCCGAATTTCTTCGGAAATGTCTTCCAAAGCTGGAATAGTTGCTGGCTTATTTCTGTAGACTTTAGACTTGACGTAGCCCCACAAAAAATAGTCTAAAGGCGTCAAATCGCATGATCTTGGTGGCCAACTTACCGGTCCATTTCTTGAGATGAATTGTTCTCCGAAGTTTTCCCTCAAAATGGCCATAGAATCGCGAGCTGTGTGGCATGTAGCGCCATCTTGTTGAAACCACATGTCAACCAAGTTCAGTTCTTCCATTTTTGGCAACAAAAAGTTTGTTAGCATCGAACGATAGCGATCGCCATTCACCGTAACGTTGCGTCCAACAGCATCTTTGAAAAAATACGGTCCAATGATTCCACCAGCGTACAAACCACACCAAACAGTGCATTTTTCGGGATGCATGGGCAGTTCTTGAACGGCTTCTGGTTGCTCTTCACTCCAAATGCGGCAATTTTGCTTATTTACGAAGCCATTCAACCAGAAATGAGCCTCATCGCTGAACAAAATTTGTCGATAAAAAAGCGGATTTTCTGCCAACTTTTCTAGGGCCCATTCACTGAAAATTCGACGTTGTGGCAGATCGTTCGGCTTCAGTTCTTGCACGAGCTGTATTTTATATGGTTTTACACCAAGATCTTTGCGTAAAATCTTCCATGTGGTCGAATAACACAAACCCAATTGCTGCGAACGGCGACGAATCGACATTTCACGGTCTTCAGCAACACTCTCAGAAACAGACGCAATATTCTCTTCTGTACGCACTGTACGCATTCGTGTGGTTGGTTTAATGTCCAATAAAGTAAACTGAGTGCGAAACTTGGTCACAATCGCATTAATTGTTTGCTCACTTGGTCGATTATGTAGACCATAAATCGGACGTAAAGCGCGAAACACATTTCGAACCGAACACTGATTTTGGTAATAAAATTCAATGATTTGCAAGCGTTGCTCGTTAGTAAGTCTATTCATGATGAAATTTCAAAGCATACTGAGCATCTTTCTCTTTGACACCATGTCTGAAATCCCACGTGATCTGTCAAATACTAATGCATGAAAATCCTAACCTCAAAAAAATCACCCGTCATTGCCATAAAATGATCTGGAGTCCACTACAAATTCACTTTTTTATGGGTTCTTGGTTTTCCCAGTTGCCGTGCGGCATGCGGTTCGCTCATTAGCCCCTTTTACGAAGACATTCGCGGCCGACGATTTCAACCACAAATTATTGAGCCCGTATTATGGTTAAATAAGTGCCCATTAATATTCTTTCCCAGGACCCGAGTCTAAATACGATACCGTAGTTTAAGAAGAGGAATCGCATCCTTAACAAGGTGACTATGTTTTCACCAAATACTACGGGTCTAGATCAGTAAGAAGTCGAATTAGCTTTTACGCTAGCAAAACGTGTTATGTGTTTTCATGGCTACCGTATGACTGTCCTGTGTTGGCGATCCCTCGGCTCGCGTACTAATTTCTTAGTACGTCAGCAACCGCGCTGTGCACGACTAGATCTGTAACACTGGTTGAAATAGCTTCGAATTGTTCTGGACCCCAAACTAAATTGGAAGCAGTACATTTAGGAGCGAGCAAAGAAACCACCGGCGACTTTCAATGGAGCCAAAATATTTTTAGGCAGCAGGTGGGTATTGAAGCCAAGGATTATAGGTGTGGAGCGCTGATCTGCTGGTCAGCTGCTATTGGTGGAACGGTTACAATTGAGATCTCACCTAAGGTAATCTATGAACGCTCGGTTCAGTGACTGTGCTATTGTCTTTACAGACAAATCAATGATGGAATGCGATTTAGGTGCAGGGATTTTCATTGAGCAACTCAGTTTGAAGCTATCAATTCATCTACCTTGTAAGAATTACATCTTAGCTCTCTCAACCGTTTGGCGAAAGCTGAGTGGGTTTCTGATTACTCGGTGTTGTTCTTTTAACAGCACAAAACTTTGCTAAAGAGTGAGACTCCTTGACCAGACATATGTATTTAGATCTCGGTCTTTCCGGTTACGTAAACCCGACTGTCGTGGGAGAGACAAATAATCATTCATTTTCTAATGGTGAGCTCTTGATTTTCGAAGAGAGAAAATTCTTCAATTGGATTTATATCAAATGCTAGCGTTTGACCTAAATTCCAAAACTTGTATCCATAAAACCCGTGACCTGTTCTGCTACTGAAATCATAGATATTTAAGTAGCTTTCAAGCTCACTCAGAAAAAAAAAGAACTTTCAACTTAAATCAACTATATTTGTGAACGATTTGACACGGATTTTTCATTGTCATTGACATTGTCTTTTATATGTATAAAATAACAACGGTCTTGAGTAATCTTAGCCTTAAAAACCCCACTGTAGCCAACGAATAGTTCCAGTCACATAAAGAGGGTAGAATATTCCTTTCACCCCAGCTCGTCTGCATCTTCCCTAGATCCCATAATGGCATTGAGTACAGCACAATGCTACCAAGAGCTGCCAGAACACTACTTTGTAAGTTTGTAAGAATCATCCTATTGGAAAGGGCCCGGACGGATACTTCACTGACTGAAAATATAGTTATAAATAAATGCGCTCTACCTTTTCTAGGCTTATTCTAGTGCATTTCCTCTTCCGGGAACTGAGAATTTGTCTATCACTTATATTAGAATCTCAATATCGGGCCCATAAACATCCGCCCCCTTTCTATTAGTGAAACCGTTTATCCAGACATACCGCTCTGCGATGCTGAATTGGAACTCCTGAATGGTTTTATTATTTAGAATTCCCCTATTCGAATACAAAAAAAAAGAAATATAATTGCATACAAATTTCTATTTCTACTTTATATGTATATCACCACCACATTGCGTTTGAAATAACTGCACTTAGCACGAATATGTTCACATGTATGTAAGTAGGTATACATTATTTTTGGGATGGCAACCACATAAAGTAAATTCTTAACGGCTTGTACATTTAATTACACATACGTAAGTATCCACTTAGGCATGCATTTCACTAATTCTCTAAAAATAAAATATCTCAAAAATGTACTTTAAACTAAATGCCACATGTTTTCCACTGTAGCATGAACCACAGCTCACAGCAATTATATTGATGTCATGCGATGCCGTGACAAATTTTAAAAAAGGAAAAGAAAATTCAAGTATGCATGCATAATTATGAACATATGTACATATGTATGTATTATATGTATACGCAGATACCAAGTCGTTAAAATAAGTTGCGGCTTATATACTTACGACTTCAAACAGGGGTCTTTTAATAGACCATGTATGTATTTGGAAGTCGTATTAGAGGTATTTAAAAAGCCCTGCCATTCAAAGGCATACGATAATTAAACAATCTCTAACGGAAAAAATTGCTTGCATGCTTTATCGGCAGCGTCTACTATATTTACACAAACTCCCTTTGCTGCATTATTCTTGCAATAAACCACTACTCAAGCTACATATCATCGTTTAAAGTACAAAACCGCGTGTCGTCATTCTGCAAAACCGCGTAACTGGCATTGGCTGCCAAAAATTGGATTTGCTCTCACAAGCTCTTGGCTCAATCCTTATCTATTGGTCCTGAAATATACTAGCCAGAAATGCGATTTCTTTATAAAAAAGAGAACCATTTTAAAATATGAGTATTTTTACGCTCTAGAAAATAATTTCTACAAGTTCACATTTTTGCATTTTGGTGATACGCGGTTTTGCATTTTGTTGATACGCGGTTTTGCACTTTAAACGACGATATGCAGTTAAAAAACCGTGTCCTTTCCTCTTATTCGGCTTCCCACTTTTCGGTAAACATAATTGGCAAATTGCACCATGAAATTAGAGAGTATGAATTTTACACAACATGCCGGTGTGACTAAAACAACATACGGTAAAATTTATTAACGAAAATAATTTAGCATACTTGAGTAGCTTTCTTAACATTTTGGCGACTACTTTTCGATAGTTTGCAAAGCAAAATATGTATGTACATTAAATCTCAATATCAGTTCAATAGCCTCTGTATTGAGAGAATTTTTAATTACAAAGAAACGACGCATTCATTCGGAGTGAGTGGTCTAAATATAGTCCTAGAACTTTTACTAAGGAGATGAAGTCCCACTGCTCACTTGTATCCATGCCTGAGGAGCTCCTCTGCTGACCATTGTGACTGCAGCTTTTCGAGGTCATACCTTCCTGTCTATTTGCACTTTGACAGGGTCATCACTGTACTAACGGGAAACCCAAGAAGCGTGCAGCCGCTATGGGGTCCGTCCATAGCGACATAGGCGTCAGCTGAGTGGGGTTTAGTGGGCATGCGAAGAGATGTTTCGAGTCGTGGTGTGTGTCTACGCATGCCGGGAACTCATTGGGCACACCTGCATCCAGTCTGCTCAGGTATGACTTCAACCTGCTGCAGTAGCCAGAGCGAAGTTGGGCTATTGTGGTCCGAGTCGAGATGAAGCTGTAACTCGTCCATGTCAGGTGGCTGTGTGCCCAGAACGGCATTCACGGGTCTGGAGTCCATATAATTGAGACCGACTCCCTGTGAATGCCGCTCAAGGCCTGTCGATATGCTGTCAGATCAGGGTCACTGGCGCCACTATTGTCGCCAGTGTTACCAGAGTCACCGGTGTCGCCAATATCGCGAGCGTGGTCAGTGTCACCAGTGAAGCGAAGATCAAAGGCGCTCGAAGCACATCTTTGGTCTAAATATTACATAGCGACCTGGGGTACAGCATCACTCACTACCATACTACAAGCTACTACGTAGACGCTTTGGCGCTATTCGTTGTCGGTGATGTTTTTATAAACGCAGAATTTTCTTACTTTTAGATCAAATATGTCCATCGAAGCGTTTTAAAGTCGCCTAGCAGCGCTCAAATGCGTGGAAATACTCTTTGGTCTCGCCTTTAGGACTTTTTTGACCAGTGTTGGTGAACTAAGTTTCGTTGCGAAATGAGGCAGGGAGAAGAACTTGGTGTCGGAGCCTCTGCCCAACCACAAACTTATACCAAGATTTCGAGCCGTCTTTGCAGCAATGTTGCTTCTATCGCATTTCCTAAGCTGCAACGATGTCAACCTTAAACAATTCAAAGACATCAAGCAGGATCGTAAGGTTAAGTTAGGTTAGGCTGCTTGGCAACTGCATAGCTTTGTGGAGACCGAGTCACAGTTTAAAAAGACATGTATAGAGGGATGATGTGGTTCAGAGCGTTCCCAGGCATTCCGCATCTCCCGCACATGTTGTCTTGGAGAATATGTCTACCACCTCGTTGCCAATGACGCCGGTGTAAGGCAGGCCTCAGTGCCGGCGCATATCGGCATTCAGCCACGGTTATTCGGCTCTGACCACACCCCTTGAGTAAGTACTGCATGATAATAAGACGTTTAAAGCAGTCTGACTGTAAATGTATATATGTATACTTCCATTTATCGCTTTACTAGTCAATATATGTATGTGCCTAGAAAATAATGCAATACTGCAATGCTGCTGAGTTAATATTCCGTTCAACGTTTATTCGCTTGTCCATTTTGGGGCCCCTCTGTACACACATACACCGAGGCTGTTATCTTCACGCTTTCCATCCAGCCTTCCGGCAGGTCCGAGATCACATATTTAGTCATTTCCTTCAGAAATCTTTGTCGCTTTACTACTGCGGCTGACAGTTTGTTATAGAGTATTATTCCGCGGTACTTGGGGTTTTGCTTCAGCTTGGAACTCGCTCCTCTTATTTTAGGTCTAGTCCAGTTCGCAATTTTATACTTTTTGGGAAAGAGTACTCAGTCTGGTTTTCCGTCTTGATGCTGTGTCATACATTTGTAGCCCTTGGCTCATGAATGTGCTAGGTGTATAACAGTGGCTGTAGCATGGATTGCTCACATTGCCCAAAGTGTAGACACAAGGTCGGTATTTAGTTTAAACGTTTTTCGGTCTCTGAAGTACAAGTTACGAATCTGAAGTACATTTTATGGTTTCTGAAATACAATTGACTAATCTGAAGTACATTTTTCGGTTTCTGAAACACAATTGACTAATCTGAAGTACATTTTTCGGTTTCTGAAGCATAATTTACAAATCTGAAGTACATGTTATGGTTTCTGATGTACAATTGACTAATCTGAAATCCAATTAACACATTCTGAAGTAGATTTGACTAATTTGAAGTACATTTTACGGCTTCTGAAGTACAATTCATTAATCTGAAGTACATTTTTCGATTTCTGAAGTGCAATTGACTAATCTGAAGTATATTTTGCGGTTTCTGAAGTGCAATTGACTAATCTGAAGTCCAATTAACAGTTTCTGAAGTACGTTTGACTCATCTGAAGTACATTTGATGATTTCTGAAATATAATTGACGCTTTCTGAAGTACTATTAGAAAAGGTGTTGACGCCGATTTCATTGTTTCCTTGACGTTTCAACCAGCTTATTCTTTAAATAAGATTTTTACCTCATTTTTATTATTAATTTGGCACGTGATTGTTTCTTACAATTTTGCAACATGCTATTCGTGAGCTACTTTCCAAATACCAGTTTTTAATTCCTCATATCTTTAAATCACATTCATGCATACGTATGTATAAGTACATTCACCAAAATAGTTGTGAAGCATTGAAGCCTAATTTACATGATTTCAATCGCTTGTAATTGTTTGTTGAACATTAAATACTAAGGCATTTCTAAATCAAAACAAACAAAGCAATGGCATAACATGAATACGATTGCATAAATTTGCACAACGTCAGACACGAATGAGCCGCTTAATTGAACGTCTTAGTTAAATAAAATGGAATGCAACTTTTTGAAGTGAACTTTTTAATACTTGTGTATTGTATGTATGTATGTTTATAGGTGTGCATATACTTAAGTAATATTGTTTGTTGAACAAAGTTGGAAAATTTAGCTAAGTACCCGTATATATGCTTATGCTTAACGAAATCTTTGCCTAAGTGCAAAGCGATTTTAGTTAAATTGACTTGTTGAGGAGTTTCCGAGCGTTTTCAATTTTATTCACCCGCAAGCAGACAAAAGCAATTAAGTATTTGGCACATATTTCAATAAGAGAAACTCTACGTAAACATGTATTGTCGTTAACAGTCAAAACCCCTAAAATATCTTTACCAGCCAGCACACATGAATGCCTCCAATCATCATTGATTGAAACCTTATATGCTGCCTATTCAACATTAGGCATTGTTATCTTCATTTCTTATAATAAATTTTGCCAATATCACTTTGCTTTCACACAATTGAATCAATTGGCTTCAAAAATTTAGCGAATATCAATTCAAAAATAGAACAATAAAAAACAACAATAACAGCCGTAATAGCAACAATACCTAAAGCAGAAAAACCATGCACACTTTTCAAAAGAATTTTGCTGCTTTTCAATCAAGAACTTTTGCCCATTAAATTCTTTGATGCTGTTACTGCGAAAAGCAATAAATCCCATGTGTTTACTGTTTCCAAAAAGGTTTGTTTCTTTTTCAATGCTTTAAGA